TTAAAATATTGGGCAAATGTAGATAACGGTATATTAGAATGATTTACACCAGAAGCTTCTTTTAACATTTTCAATACAGACGTGCATTATTATATCTTACAGTTAACAGTTTATTTGTTTTTTCTTTATCAAAATTATATCTACATTTACGTAATACAGTTTTATACTCAGACCTGGCTTTTACCATGTTCACTCTATTAAAATCATTCTGGCAATCACGATATTTGTTTAAGCATTTATAAAATATTTGCTGCTTTTCAAAACACTCGCTATTAAACCATGGTTGATTTACATCATTTGTTACACACTTAGAGCCAGTGGCTGAAACCCTTTTGATAAATGGAGAAGCAATATTATTAAACATGTTTTCTAAATTTTGCAAACAATTATCAATGTCGCCCTTTGTAGAGCTTAATAATATATTATTTTCTAAATTATCAAGATCTCAATATTTTCATACTGTTGATAATAACTCAATATACTGATCTTTCAAATTTTCTTTCCATACATAGGTAAAAATCAACACTATCATAATTCTGATTTAAATCATTATAATCATATATATTGTCAACATAATCAGTAGATTTATTGAACACAAAAGAAACAGTTTATAAGACAGTGATCAGACACAATATTAGGACAATCAATATCAAATGTACCAATTTTCTCACATAAACTATTTTTACACAATAAATAGTCAACAACACTACACCCTCTATTATTCACAAATGTGTATTTACCAATATTATAATCTTCATCTTCATATATATCCCCAGTCTCATCATTTCAAAACACCTTGGTGGAATCTTTTTTAACAAACTTTTTTCCTAAAGTCAAACTTACTGTACAGAAGTTGAGATTATTCGTTAACATAAAAAGGTGTTGTGTAATAAGTAAATCTATTTACGATACCTCTAAAAAGTAGTGAAACTTTCTGTTTGTCGGCTTCCGTGAATTTTTCCATCAAGTGCAAGGAGTTTCTTTTTAAAATAACATTCAGAAAGTAGTTCTCGTGCAATATTATTTAACTCTTAATTTCACTGCTTGGTTGGATTTGTTCGAGAAGAGAGATTCGAGAAAAAAGATTCGTACAATTTCTCAAAATATTAAAACATAATATACCTAATATACTCCATTTCCTGCATAAAACACTGCTTATTTAAAAACGTTCAGAAAATTAACATATCAACTTGCTGTGCGCAAAAAATAGATACAAAAGAAGAGAAAATATTTCAAGTTGGTCTATTTGATTAATTTTCTTAAATCTATAAAATGACAATTTAGCGATTCTAACGATGTACATATAGTAATATAGCAAGATGTTACAAATTTTCACAAACAGCGTGTAAATATAGATAAAAAACAACAGCAAGCACAAAGACGCATGTTCGGTAATTAATGTGTGAACAAATGTATCGAAAGTTCGCGGAAAGGACTCCTTTCATTAAACGTCATTGAGGAGAAAGCAATTAACTTTAGATGACAAAACGCCAATTAAAGCGAAAATCATAAAAGTTATACGACGGCTGTTTGATATGCAATATAAGCTTGCGGCATATGGCGACTTACAGCTCTTTCAATATTGTAAATTCTTAGCAAACCATTTTATTACCGTCTACAAATATTAAACAGTATGTCGCTTTTATCATAAAGTCTACTATTGGATCACAGAGCAGGAAGCACTTTCGTTTGATATACATGTACTGAAAATGGACAAATATTCACTTCAAGTTAGTTAATTCTTTGGCTATAATTTCTTCCTCCGTTGTGTGGCATTTAAGATGAACTATACACAACTATGGTTAAAGAATCATCAAACAACATTTTATCATGGTCAATCTCAGCAGTGACTCCATTAACAAGACATCGGTTGTCAGAAAATTGGGCGAGTTCGCATGCCGACAGAACATAAAACTTGCAACTCTCTCAATGCACTGACATTTGTGGTCACTCTTAACCTGCTGAATTTCTGTAATGGATTTGTCCTGCTTATAGAATTTGGAACAATCCATTTGAATTTTAAGGGATGTCAGTTACAAAATACAAAAAATGAACTTATATTGATGTAGGCTGCACGGAAGTTCAGGCCGGCATGACTCTTTACTGGTGGTAAAGGTTTATGTCCTCTCGGTTCCAGGGGCCGTTTCATAAAGCTAAAACCATAGAAACATTTGTACAGTGACAGGTTGGTACATATATGTCGAATGAGCTTGTTTTCGGGGCGAAAAGACAAACGGTTGTCGTGTTTTCAAGTTTTCTTCTTTCATTTCGTTTTGTGGTGGTCGAAAATGCAGAAGGTCAGAAACAAAATCACCATTTTTCATGGTTAATTATAATGTTGATTTTTCCTTAGTTTTACTTTAGTGCAGTACAGAATCTTATGACTATCATGCTTCGCCAAGCGCGAAGAAAAGACACAAAAGTTTGTGGAGCGGTGAGCGGATGGTACACGACACCTATAGAATGTGTCATTTTTTCTCAATACGAGGGCTGTTCGAAAGATTTGTGGAATATTATCATGTTATTATAAAAGTATAAATAACTAACCAGTTTAAATACCTTGAGTATTAATGATATGTACACTATTAAGAACTTTGTGGCATATGCATGTTGTTTTCATGCTATGACCATTTGAAACTAAATTATTTTCTAAAGTAGGATTTTATTACAACATTCCACGAACTTACGGAACATCCCTGGTGAGATGACGTCTATTTGCGTGATGAAATTGGGGTTGGGGTAGGGGGTAGAGGGACAAATGACCAAATGTGCTGTTAAATCATTGCTTTGCGTACTTCGGCATCAATAATGTAAAAAAGTTCGTCACGGAGGAATTCGTTCTGTTTCCAAATATGAAATCGTGCAAACCTGTATGTTTAACTCTGTTTCTAACGCACGCATTCATAATTTATGTGTTACGTAGCAAATTGAGAACACTTTTAACGGTGTTATAAATATCTGACACAAATATAGTAATTCGATAGTCTTTTGATAGGTTGATATTCTGTTCCTGTAGGTAGGAGAACCCGTCCTTGGATGAATAGATTGTACATAGAAGTTTTAAGTCAAATTTAATTTGTACATAAATGCCTCCGGCTTAAAAAACGTATACAATGTAATATCATACGTTTAAGGTTGTGTCATAATATTATACATTTCATGTTTCATAATGGCATGCACCAAAAAGTGCAGCTGATCTTATTTTATCATCATCATCAGAACACTGCGTTAAATTTAAAAAATCTACGTATTCAAATCTGCTGTTGTACCAGTATAATAAATATTGTTGTCGTTCATGTCTATATTTGTAACATTTAAAAGAAACGTAAAAATAATCACCAAGACATCGTGTATCAAATATTGACAATAACGATCTGCTCTTGTGGAGCTTATCTAAGGGAAACAACTAATTGATCGTAAAAAGACAATCTTACCTGAGTTATTTCCCTTTAGTAAAATTCTATGCATATTTTACAGTTATCTAACTATTTATGAAGGGATTTTAGGCCGTTGTATAACATAAAGTTATACTGTATATAACACCGTTGAAAAATTATCCATTTTTTTATCAAACGTTTCTGAGTCTTCCCGTGAAAATACGATCAAAAGTTTTACTTAAATTCAACACATGTCCCCAAAATGAGCCCATTTTTAACTAATCAGATTCCAACGACTTTTTAATAAAACTTGAATGTTCAAATTTTGTCAGTGTCAAATGTCAACACTATTATAATACTATTAAGTGTTGTTACAACCTAAAAGGATCTTTAATCCTCGATATTAAATGTGGATGGAGTGTATATATCCACTGAAAAAAAAGTTACGCTGATGTAGCAGAAGAAATTTTTGATGAATGAAATAAAAAACTTTGGATTCTTTCATGTAAGGAAGCTATCCAGCTAGCTTACGGAACGTCGGTGGTTCTACTGATCAGGTACCCGTTCGTGCCTGAAATAATGCACGGAAGGGCACCTGAGGTCTTCCTGGAACGTCGCGATATGACATATACTGTGTCGATGTGACGTAAAAAAACAAACGAACAAACAAACATAATTAATGTGTTATATATAGCACTTTTAAAAGTTTTATAGACATCTGACACAAATATAGAGCAATCGCCGCTGATATTCTAGATAAGTTCGTGTACGTAGGAGGACCCGTGCTAGAATAATCTATTTAATACATTACTAGGCTGTATATACAAGTTGGAATGACAGAAGATCTGATATCCTAATATAATTAATAATAATGAAAGACTATGCGGTAATAATGCATATTATCTAAGAGAAACAACTTATTAATTCGTGAAAAATAATCTTACCTGAGTTATTTCCCTTCTGCAAATTTCAAAAGTTAGGTAGGGGTATAACATAAATTTTAAATTTCTAATCCCGTTGAAAAAATCATCCATTTTTTATGAAACATTTCGGAGTCTTCCTACGAAAACACGATCAAAAGTTTTACTTACATTCAACAAATTGTTACAAAATGTCCCCACTTTGATCAAAACTAAACGACTTATCAGGTTTCAACGACTTTTTAATAAAACTTTAATAATGAAATGTTGTACTGAAAAAAAATTATGTTACATTGGTGTGGCAGAAGAAACAACTTTATAGCATTTCTTCAAATATAAGTAGTACATTATTTTTCTTCAAATTTATTTAAATATACATGTTAGAACATTGTCTTAATCTGCTTAAATTGAAGTAAATAAGAAAATGTTATTACATTTGTATGCCAGATAATCACACAATTATCATCATGCTTACATTTGTAAGCGATTATGAAGTTATATCAGATTTACTATATTGTATGGTCATTATTCAATAAAGGTATATAAAATCAAGTGTATCGCATAATATGCAAATATTAATAAAAAATAAACGTAAAATTCAATTGGAACATTATTGTTATATTGATATAACAAGGGATAATTTATATAAAAAAGCATCAATAGGATATTAACAGATTATTAAATTGCTGAAATCTTCTTTCAGAAACCTGCTTGTGAAACTGTTACTTCTGGTTCAGCTGATGAGGGTCCTGTGACAACTCACGTTCCAGATGCTACATACGATATTGACCCAAGCATAACTGAAATCGTATCACTCTCAGAGAAAAATGTCTGTGTCCGACACACACAAACAAGTGTAACAGAAATGGTGAACAACACAACACAGACAGAGCCAGATTGTAGACAAGAATTATTTGAGATGTTATTAAAGAAAATTGAAGACTTGGAAAAGAAGATCGATATTGCTGGTATGGAACAACGCCTGAACGCTAGGATAGACTCACTGGAAGATAAACTCAATCCTAATGAACCAGTAAGTGATGTTTTTACATTCTGTGATGAAGCACCAGTCACACCTAGACGAAATACTCATGTATCAAGGCCTTCTACACCACTATCAACAAAAAGCAAATGCGAGATTACAGACATTGGATTTTGGAAGCTAACACCTGCTGAGGTAATAGGAAGAGATTCAGAAAGTGTAAAAGAGTGTGCCAGTAAAAGGTCTGTGCTATACAACCCAACGTTTGATGGAAGTTTAATTGAGAGTGTTAAATGTGAAAGCCTGAATCAAAGAACTTTATTTGCTAAAAATCTGATGCACTCTGCTCTTATGATTGATGAACTGTTTAATAAGAACATTAATGGGAAAGTGACCAATGATACAAATAAGGCAAAGATCAACCCAGCTAAAATTACCAAAATCAGAACTGAAGTCTTTAAGTACTTCCCATGCCTTGCATCTGAAGAAAAAAAGTGTTGGTCTGAATGTGTGAAAACAATGGACAAGGCAAACTTGTATTTTTTTCTGTAATTGATAAGAAATATGACATTTCTCAGATCAAAAGCTATGTGATGCTGTAGACATACTGTATGGCTCAGATGAAATGTAGATTAAGAAGTGATAAGTGTGGATAAATAGCCTGTGTGGCAAAATATTAAAACTGTTGACTTTTAACAAAGAATTTATAACTGTCAATTTCCATTTTTTGAGACAACAGTGACATGTTTTTGTTGTGTTTTTTTTTATATACACTGTAACATATGCAATTTGATTTATTTTAATTTTTGAATGAAATGCACAAATAAATTTTAGATGTTTTGTGTGTGTGTTTTTTTTATTATTTTTTTTTTTTGGTACTACTTGTAAATAAATTTATTACACCAACATCCAAGAATACCCAATAAATATTGCCTACTTATTATCTGCCTATGTTATTTACCCTGGGGGCTTTCTTATCAGTAGGATACTATAATCAAAGCACAGAAGGCGCTGAATTTGTTTGGGTCTCAGAATGTAAGAAAGGTGCAGGTTGTGAGATTATATGTTTAGTGCCACCAATGCTTTCCAGCGTTTTAATTGTAGTAAATTGGCTATAAGACTAATTGCAACACTGATATTCAATCCAATGTTTATTTGACTTTAACAATTTTAAAAAATGAGTTACCTTTACTGGGATTTGAACTCCAGACCTCTCGCTTCCTAAGCGAGCCCGAAAACCCTTCAGCCACGGTTAAATTTATATGTGAACGGCCTGAAGAAAACCATATTATTCTAAATTAGGGCCTGTAACGACTTTTAACTGTTGTTTAACACAGATGTAAATAATCCTGAAGCTTACTATAAGCATGTATATTTATAAAGAATCAAAGGGCTTCAAGTTCTTTGGTATTTTCTGATCTTTGCAATCTAAATCGTACTGTATATCTGTATGCATTTTCCTGTATAAGTTTATTTTTATGTATTATAATTCATTTTGTAAGGCACATACGGAATTCTGCATAACTAGAGTTGCATCAAAAAATCATTTATGTACTTTTTTTACGACAGCCACACTTTATCCTTGTAAATCATGGCTACTTCCTTAACAAAAACAATTAAAAAAAGAATTTAACAAAAAAAAAATTTCCTCGACTGGGATTCGAACTCGAGACCTCTCACTCACTAAGCGAGCGCGTTACCACTGTACCACGGAGAAGTTATACACAGAATGTCTGAATAATATCAAGTCATTCTAAATTTAGAACTTCCATTGCATTCAGGTTTGTAATCCCAGGTACGTTAATATACGTACCTGGTAATCCTTATTAATTTCGAGGTATTTTGTTCAGGGTAAACCTGTTGTTTAAAATTGAAGTAAATATTTTAGCGAAAATCCTCTCGCCCAAACAGTCCGACATGTAGAATCTATATATTCCACTACTCGGTTTGTGTAGTATTCGGTAATCTACATGGCTAAAAATAGTATTTTCATTGATAAAATCATATTCATCCGCGTAATTTGTGATTGTGCATTTATTGACAATTCTATAAGCCAACGCTATTGTTTAACTTTAAATGCGTTGTAATTTGTTGGATACTTGTAACATAATAAAATATTTCTTTCTTTTAAATCGCTAGTTTTAAGCTGTTTTGAGAACTACTTGTTGTTAGGTTTTGTCATAAACTTCTGTGTCAGAGATTGAATGTCCGCTTTGTATTTAGTTATTTTCGATCAGAAAATACCAGAAAACAATATTAGAAATCTTCGACCATTCGGGAATTACTTTGCTTGAAAATTGATGCGCCTGTCTTTGACCATCTTTACGCAGTGATCTCCCCTGAATTTTTCGGCTTTAGTGTACATACAAAAGGGAAGTAACCGCTTCAAAAAAGTGGACTACTTTCGGCGTTTGCAATTAAGAACATTAGACTCTGAAATTTCGCTACCATTATTTGTTTGGTCTGACGACCCAAACAAATAAAAACCACCAATACAAAGCATAACTTTTGACACTTTAATATTCTTTGTATGTATTTTCAAATACTTTTTAAATTAATTTTTATTATATACAGTATATATAATAAAAATAAATTAAAAAAATATTTATTTATGAAATATGATAAAAAAAAATATTTAATGATACAAAAAATTAATGGTCATTTATCTATGTCTAACATGTATATTGCATTTTGTTATTTACCCCGAGGCTCTCTTATCAGCAGGAGACCGGTATAATGAAAACAACCACTCTCATATAAATACCAACAATACACAGGGGGGAAACAAATCATGACATGACACTTTCCTCTTCTATAAAATATTCCCTTTAAACATTATATCATTAAGAATTAAGAAATCGTGAATAAAGTTTTTTTTTAAATTTATTTACTTATTTCATGTAAAATATAATTATTTATATTTATATCTTAAAAAAGTATGCAAAAACATTTCATTTATGAATACTACATTATCCCTGTATATTGATTGTTTTAGAATGTATTTATTCTCTTTCTTTCAATATTGAACATAAGAAATTGCAAAAAGTAAAGTAAATGAACAGAAGTGCATCCATTTTCTTTTACACAAGTTCAATAATTTCAATATCCACTTGCTTGTCCTTGTTGGCGAATAACTTCGGGTATCACTTTATACAGATGGTCGATATATTTGTTACATTTTTCAGAGTTTACTGTTTTCCAATACTCTAAGATGCCCTGTATAAGTTCCTGTTTGTTTTTTGTTTTTTTCGTCTTTCTAAGGTAGTGTTTCAATTCTGCCCATAGGTTTTCTATTGGATTCATATCAGGAGACTCTGGAGGTGTGACCCAATGATTGATGTTGTTGTCCTTCATAAACTGTTTGGTTGATAGGCTGACATGCTTTGGATCATTGTCCTGCATTAAACGAAACCCTTCTGGATAATGTTTCTCACCAAATGGAATCAAACGATCTTTCAATATTCCCTGATAATAGTCTGAATTCATGCGTCCACTAAACACGTGAATTTCAGTGGCCCCTCTACGTGAAATTCCAGCCCAGACATGAAGCCCAAAAGGATGTTTGGGTTTGCCAAGCAGTGGTTTCCTTTCACCAACCTTATACAGAGTTCTCCTGGTTGATGACTGTATTTTGATTGTTGATTCATCAGTAAAGACTACATCGTCAAAATTTTCGTTTGTTTTTATACAGTTCAGAGCATAATTAAATCTCTTAGGGATGTTAGCACCGCGAACAGTCTGACAATACTGAGTAGTTTTGCTTACCCATCCCATCATTTTTCTTGTTCGTCTTACAGTGCTAACACTTACTTTAATAGCGAAAACTGTTCTTAATTTATTGCACAGTTCAAAAGAGGTTAGTTCAGAATTTTCTTTCAAACACAGTTCAATATAATCAATGTGGTCATCATTCAACTTTTTTTGTTTCACCATTTTCTTTGGCTTACAGACAGATCCATATTTTTTGTAATAATTTACCCACATATTTACTGTTTTTCTGCTGACATTAACATTGTCCTCTCTATGAATAATTTTAACAATTTCAGTCTGATTGACACCCTTAGTATGTAACTTAATAATCCTCTCTTTCAGATATGGTGATAAACGTGTTATCTTTTTCATTCTCAGAATTAACCAAATTTAAGTTATGATTTATAAAATGCAAGTTATGTTTCCCAAAAAGAAGTAATGTTTTATATACTTATATGAAAATGACATCAATTTCTTTTGCCACTTGTCAATTAATATAATACCGCACATACTGTCTTAATTGCAGACGAATAGGTATTTTACCGCAAATTGCTAAAGAAATGTGCTAAACAGGTATATCACTGAAGAATGTAAAGAAAACTGGCTACTTTATATACAAAACACTTAATTCAGCTCACAATAAACAAGAATTAAGTTTAAATCATTTACGCAGCCAGTAAATAAAAAGGTGATATTGCAATTATTTAGAGAGCATATATAATATATTATCTTTAATATAAATCTTTTCTTGATTTGGTAAGAAACTTATTTAATTGGGCTTTAATTATCACATTGATTCTCACATTTTTACACTAGAAAAGTTATAAAATATTGAATAAATTGTAACGTATTGAACAAACTTTTAGCTTTAAAAACACTTAAACGCTTTAATTATACATTACAGGGAGAGAATATTTAAATTTAACAAAATTAATTCTATATATTTGCTTTTTAAAGGGTATTATTTATTTACTTTTAGTAAAATACAGGTTAATAAAAAATATGATAATTGCATTAAAAAAAATTAAGCTACAAAACAATGGCACCTAAAATGTTAAAACTGCTAATTTAAAAATTACTTATTTATATATTTATATTCATGAATATAAATATATATATCCCCAAAGTTTTTTTACAAAAGCTAAACAATAAATGACCCCTGTCACTAGTTATACATTTATCCAATAAACCATTAAAGTGTCACTCATTATAATGGCCTGTCTGGTCATATGGTCTAGTGCACTAGTAGTGCACAAGGGTGGGAAGTTTAGTGTGAACTCAACTGTAGAAGTATAAGAGCCTTAAGTAAATGCTAAGCATCAGACTCAAAAATTGACACAATTAAGAGTATAATACTATTAAGTGTTGTTACAACCTAAAAAGATCTTTAATCCTCGATATTAAATGTGGATGGAGTGTATCTAATTAGCTGCGCATAAATTCAGTCGAGACTAATAATAACATATATTTTTGATGAATGAAATCAAAAAATATTTCATATAAAACAAAAACAAAATGCACATTTGCGTTTGTTCGTTCTTTTTTCTTTGTTTTTTTTATTTTTTTTTTGTTTTTACTACCGCTTCTCCTTGTTTACAAATGTGCTTCTTTCTCGACGCTGTTTTAGTCACTTTTCTACATTGAACTTAAGATCAGTTATTGGAGAATTCAAGTAATCACTTGGGCACGAGGGTCCGAGCAAGCAATGACCCAATTCAATCGGGCACGAGCGCCCAAGCCAGCAACGACCCAAATCATTCGGGCACGAGCGCCCGAGTAAGCAACGACCCAAATCACTTGGGCATGGGCAAGCAACTTCCCAAATCACTCGGGCATGAGCAAGCAACGACCCAAATCACCCGGGCACGAAAGCCCGAGAAAGCAAACCAAGTGTCACTTTATTGTTTTTTGTTAAACCATTTTAAACGGAAGCCACGAGCAAGTATGTATTAAAAAAATATTTGCATACCTCTAATCTACTGTTAATATGGAGTTTATTGCGTCACATTGCAAATTAGAATATGCTTACATGTGCGACTATATATAGATGATATAGATTCCCAAACGCACCAGTGTGTCGATACGGATACTGCATATTTCCCTTATTTTATCCCGCTTGACTGTGGTTTTGAATAAAAACATGGTCGCCTACAGAAAAGAGGTGCTTTGACCCAAAATATCTTGTCACGTCTTTATACCTAAGGCCTTAAAGAGATACAATCTCACGACGTTAAGTCATTTATTTGCAATCAAATATTTGTACAGGATAATGAAATTTCAAGCAGCATTTGTCACACAGAAAAGCTTGGACTAATATCTTGATAATGTTACAATAGAAAGATTTAATATAAAAGATATTCTACAAAAGACTCCGCTATCTTTTTTATTTTAATCTACTAAGCCCGAATAATATTATTCAATACTGTGTTTATATGATACGTTAGATTTTAGATAATCATACAATGTGATTTTCAAACAATATTAATGCGAAACATAAAAATTTAAGAAAAAGGGCAACATTCGATAACCCTGTCTGGTACCGCGTGGTAATTAGCCCTTATCACGCTTAATTTCTTAAATGAACTTGCGCATCTTTCAATACGGACTAAACCATTCACCATTTTAAGGGCATTTTTCAAAATATGTTCTGACTTAATCTGTTAATAGCGAACAGTGCATGCCATGATTAAACGGCACGAATTTTTCAGTTGACCTTGGTCTGCCCATGTCGGATGAGTAAAATCTCTTGCTCCCAGCAGGCTAAGGGTCAACACTAGCAGATTATAAACCTAGAGGTCGTGAGCTCAAACCCTTGTTCGATAGTATTTCGTGTGAGACATTTAAAACTGTGGTCCGACGTACGTATGACAGTGTATCGGCCCTTTCAGTTCTTATCGTTTCACTTATTACATGCCCCACCTCTCCTTTCACCGCCCTTGTGTCCTCGTCCGTTTTGGTGGTGCCTTGCTGATGTGGCAATGTTGTGTCGGTGGCTGCGTACTGTGAATGTTGCCTGCATGCATGCCTTGTTGATCTTGTTCTCATTTTTTATTGTATCTTACTCTTATACAATGCGGAATTGTGTACACTTCTCTCTCAAGTGATCCACTTAAGATATAGGTAAAATATCTACAAAAACAAAAACAACAAAAAACAAAAAACAAAAAACAAAAACAAAAAAACAACAACATGTGCTTCATTTTCTTAAATGGCGGGAGAAAGACATTGCAAATGTGGTTATTTTATTTGTGAATCGATTGGTTCATTCGATCGTTCGCACACTTGCTTATCTACGTATTCCATTGCATTGCTCACTTTTTTATTTTATTTATATATTTATTTTTCGCTCTTTATAATTGTTTCATTCCTTAATATTTATTTATTCTGTTTAACTTAGTATAGATAAGAGAGTCCACATTAAGTTTCAAATCAATTGAATCTATTTTATAGGTTAAAGTATAACTTGATAAAATATTATTGAAAAGATAACGTTTGTTTTAACACAAACGTATAAAATCGGTTAATGCTTTTATGTCGAAGTTTTTAAAGGGGTTTATCTTAAAGCATGATTAGAATTTGAATGAATCGAAAGAATAAACGGAATGTTGTAGCCCTAGATTTATAATATCTATGTTAAGAACGAGTATGGACTTTTATAGTTTATTTGTCTTCACCCAAACAAAACTTAGAACAGTAGATTTAGCCTACTTGTTGTTTTGTAAAATAAGTAGAAGTAATTCATCATAAAAATAATTATACTTAAAGAAATTCAAACATCCCCAATATACGTTCTATTGTCAGTAATAAAAAAAAACATTCAACATTTGTTTGTTATAGTTTTGAAAAGTAATACATCTATAATAACTAATTTATTCAGAAATTTCAAGGCTCGCTTCACCACTGCATTTTCAATTAATATTTAAAAATTAAATTTATGCCGCGTGCTTTGCTTAAAGACTTGTAAACATTAACTTACTTAATTTGTGTAACGGACATCTTTGAATTTGAAACAGTTCATTTAACATTTCAGGGATTTCAATATCAAAATACAAAAATTAAGTTCCATTGAATAACAGTACAGCGTCAAGTTAAACTCACGGGGACGAACTGAACGGGGTAGGACCTTAATTGCATGCGTATATCGCTTGGTGCTTTAAGCGAGTAAACGTGGTGGTTATGGTGTAACAGTAAAACTGTTGTTGATGGTAGTTTTTACTCCGGGTGACGGAAGTAAACCACATTGAATTTACCACATCAAAGTTCAGCCACCACATCGTTCCTTGGGCAGACTGTCAAGCTTTACCCGTACTGCAGTTGATTTCACTTTTGCAGGGAACTGATTACTTCTGTACATGCCACAGTACGGGTGCTGTGCGAATGACCATGGAAAGGATTTCGTGATCAATCACAACAAAAGTGACCTGCACCGTCTGGGAATCGAATCCAACGCTCTGATACCTATGCATTGGTGGCAAAGCGTAGCAGTAGGCCAGAACTTACAAGTGCATGCGTTTTTTTTTCTTTGTTTTGTTTTCTCAATAAAACAAAAAGTCATGACAAAAACTGAAACGATACAGTTCGAATTCATCATAATTATAATATTATCTACTTTTTATAAATGTGTGTACATATAGATCTACACGTAAATATATCTGATTATGCACGTGAAATAGCTCAGAATACATCATGTATATATACATACATGTGCCTATATCTTCATCATATGTGAACTATCTTTAATTGAAGAATATCATATAAGTTTTTATAGGAATGTAGAGCCGAAATATATTATATAGATCTATTATTTCATATGGGTAAACATAATGCTGTAAACATTTTTGTAAAACATCGTCAACATTTGTAGCGATAATGTTATAAATAGAACTACGGACTATTTTGCAGATTAGATAATTTATATGACACCGTTAAAAAAGCGCGCAATGGTAGAAAAATGTAAATATAAGTTATACACTGACCAATGAAATAACACGATACAGACCAATAACGTTAATGCGGTTTATCCGTTGCTATCTGTGGAATTGTGTATTGGCATAAAATACTTGGTTTGACCAATTTCAGGCGTTCTCATCTTAAGAGTCTAGGTAGAAACACATTAAAAGGTAAGTTTATATTTATTCATCGTTTTATTTATCTTTTATATTTAGCTATTTTGTCTTAAATCATAAGTGAAAGATCCGGATACCATGTATCCGACAAACAGTAAACTAGAAGCGCTCGTCACGAGCCGTGACATAAACATCCGAAGTTCTTTGATTTTTCTTTAAAAAAAATTATCTAGATCTATCTAATTTTTTTACATTACGTAGTTAGTTAATATTGGATCGCACAGTTATTTCTAGCATGGAATGCTGTTTATGGACACCTTCGCATTGCGGAGGCGAAATATTGAATCGAGCCACCCTAATTGTAATAATTTATGAGAGTTTTTCTTAAGTTAATTTAAACTAAAAGGTTGCTTCTCACTTGATTCACGTTTGCAATGTTTTATATAATTATTTCACATGCGATTTAACTATAATTATAAATAATAAGGCGTAAATTTTTTATCAAGTAGACAAGTTACTAAATTATTCTTTCTCTGGCTTGGTAATCTATTTGTCTGTAACTGACTTACTGTTGCTATGGTAACTGCCTGATCACTGTGGTAAAATACATTATGAGATAAGGAAAATGTCAGTTATTCCATGGAGCTAAATATAGCTAAGCCTATCTGTAGTTATTCGGTGTCTTGAAGTTAAAATCAATATTGTGAAAAGAGCTCGGAAAATTTAATTTGAAGCTGATCACATGTGAAAAGTTCAGCATGAAACTGTCTCTCAATTTACTGTTGTATATTTATTTTAATTCAGAAATAAAATCTTGTTCAACTTGGAGCTCAGCTGTTATAAGTTCATTCTTTTATGATGTATTTTATCTATATTTTTCAGCCAAAATGACCGACAGGAAGGCCGTTATCAAGAATGCTGATATGTCCGAGGAGATGCAGCAGGATGCTGTGGACTGTGCTACCCAGGCTCTCGAAAAATACAACATTGAAAAGGACATTGCTGCCTACATCAAGAAGGAATTCGACAAAAAGTACAACCCAACCTGGCATTGCATCGTTGGCCGAAACTTCGGTAGCTACGTCACCCACGAGACGAAGCATTTTATTTACTTCTACCTTGGACAGGTTGCCATTCTTCTCTTCAAATCTGGTTGAAGTGGTTGGAAGACAAGAACTTTTGTTATAGTTACAGCATTATTTTCATTCCAGCAGCATTTATTATTGTGACAATCTAAGTCTTTTGAGAACTGTTTAATTATTATGAACTAGGACCAAAGATGAAACTGATAGTAGCTGCAGCATTGTTTTATTACTTTGCATTATTTTTTTTAATTGTGACGATCTAAGTCTTGTGAGAAACATGAATAACTGTGAACTTAAATCAAACATGAAACAGACTAGTTAAAACTAATAAACTCTCTGGAATTTGCTGATCTTGCCAAAATGGAACAAAGTAATAACACTTGGTCTAAAAAAATTTTACACAACTAACTACAAAGCAAATGACACTGCCTCATTTTGTGTGATTATTATTTATTTATTGAAATATTTTTGTTAAGAAATAAAAAGAAAGACGTGGAATTACTAGTCATTTTCCAGTGTACACTGCAGTCTCACTCCATTATGGAGCATGCAGATGTTTGGGCTAGCCAAGTTGTTATGCATGGCTGAGCTCTGTTAAGTTGTTATTATCATGTTAAAAACTGAACATGCATTTCTTGTCTGTTCTGTTACTACAGATAAAATAAGTTAAAATGTTCATGAAATTCTGTTGTACTTTACACCAACATATTAATATTTGATTTCACTTGCACGGCCAAGATTACCATTATTTTATAAAAGGTTTTAGCGATTACAAAGGGCCTATTAAGCTCTGCATAACTCCGTATTCAATGAAAGAGCTTATAGTGTCTACCTTCTGGGCTATATATTGATCTCGGCTAAATTGTGGCTCTACCTAGATGTCCCTGTGTTTGCCTGTAATAACTTAAGTGTATAGCAGAACAAGACAACAATTTCATGCATATCAGACAGGATTATCTACCGTTTACACCATGTAAGACAAGTCGCGTGCTTTAAATGACGTCATTGACGCGCGCCTTTTATGAATGAATCGCGTCCTTATGATGACGTCATTTTTCCGTTATGAATGAAGTTGTATGTTCATACGCTACTGTAAGAAAAAAGAGCGTAATGAGAATATCAGTTTTCATAATTTCTGTTCCGAAAATAATTGACATGTAATATGCAAGAAAAAGAATCAAACACCGGCTGTTGGTACAGACGGGAATATCTAGCTCTCGGGGTAACTGTTAAGCGGAAACTCGGCAGAGCCTTGTAGGAGCACATTTGTCTTACGTAAGACCGATGCGGTCGCATTTGTCCCACATGAGACAAATCGGGCCTCAAATGTCTTCCCAAAAAAACTCATTTGTGTGACAAATGTGCTCCGATCAAGTTTTTCAAGGGACAAGAAAGCACATTTGTCTCATGTGTTTTTAAGGGACAAGAAAGCACATTTGTCTCATGTCATTTTTATGAATTATTTTTCACACATTTCCCCACGTCAGAAATTTTTTTTTAGAATCGAGGTTCGCCGTTTTACCTCATGTCAAGTGTAATCATCAAAAGGTTTGCTTATGCTTTCCTTATGAAAACTAAAGTGAACTATTAATTATAATACCTCTAATTCAAGAAATTGATTGGCTTAACCTGAAAGCGTAGACTGAAACATACTAAATACCGTTCACGATGGTACAATGGTGACAAACACGTTGGTGAAAACGCGATGGTGCGATGGTGAAAACACAATGGTACGAACGTAAACGACGATTGTTCGATGGTGAAACAACGAAGGCTCGATGATGAAAACGTGTTGGTACTATGGTGAAAGACGATGTTACGATGGAACGATATGATGAAACTGCGATGGCATGATGATGAAAACGCGATATTATTTTCTCTACCGTGTCATCGCATCATCGTGATTTCACCATCGTGCCATCGTGTTTTAATCATCGTACCATCTCATTTTCACCATTGTGCACAGCTGTTCAGGGAGACAAAATGTTACTTATGTCCAAACGGAACACCGTAATCGGTTGATACTGAATGATGCAATATCGTGACTCGTTTCGCATCTCGCCGAATTCTCGCGTCTCGCTTCGCATCTCGTTCGTCGGCGCGAGACAAGATATTGGTTCCGCTATGTAGTATTCCTTTTATAGTCTACATAAAATCACTTAAAGGCTTATTATGCCCGAAAAAATAAAAAAATATTCATTTCTAAAATCTCGTGGTACGGGATACTTCGACATTGCGAGATCTCGTATTACAATATCGTGCCCTCGCTTCGTGTCTCATCCGAATGTCTCGTCTCGCCCGATTCTGAGTGGCCCGATATTCCATAGTTATGGCATTACCCTGATTGTTTTTAGGAACTCATGCTTGTTGTAAGTGCTTTTTTCAATGGTGGATCTGAAAGCCGCAATTCTTGGAAAATGACGATTTTTTTATACAAATATTTCTGATGAAAACAAAACGTGTGTAATGGTTTTCTTATTTTTTTCCATAGATCATTTACGGGCCTCCGTGGCCGAGTGATTTTAAAAAACCACTTGCCCCTAACCGCTGTAGGTTCGACACATACACGGGGCGTCGAACTATACATGCGAGGATCCCGGTCAGAGTCCAAATGAGGAAAACATATCCGCGTGGGCACGTAATAGTTTCGCGTGGCCACGTAAGAAAAAGCTATCGTGTGCGCACGTAATAAATAAGACAATTTTATGTCTCCTTTATGCCACCGTAGATACTTACGTGTTTTTGTTAAGAATATTTGTTCCTAGTGCCTTAACTCATATATTAAACTTTAAGCATTGAAAATAAACGTACAATAAGAATACACTTGCTGCATTTGTGTTAAGGTTCTGGATGCTGCACTTGTAGAAATTTTCATTGTGACATGCAGAACAAGGATATTATTTAATTTAATATATGACTCCTATGAATAGGCAGAAAGTTTTTGACTGACCGGAAGTGACCTAAAAACGGTATAATAAATACAGAAAACACAGAACAATAGCTGGTAGCCGGCATACAGATGGATATAATTATTACCTTTTAAGAATTTTATGGAAAAATGTGAGACAAATGTGCTTCGAGTGTCCTTTCTATTGTGTGTCGAACACATCTGTCTCATTTCCAATTTGTCGCAAATATGAATGTTTACGAACAAATCGGTCACACTTCGTGAGACAAATGTGCTTCGAGACAAATGTGCTCCTACAGAGCCTCGTTACCGCTGTAAACAGTTACCCTCGAGCTAGATATTCCGGTCTGTACCGGCAGCCGGTGTAGATTCTTATAATCTATTTCGTCTTTGCCCTAACTATAACAATAAAAATGTCACATACGGTGTCCATATGATTCATTACAACAGAGATACTCTGGAATTGGCAAATATGGGGATTTCCAATCTAATCCAAGGGTACAAACGAACAGTTGTACAGTTACAACTTGGTGATAAGCTCAACATGTTGTGAACTGCAGTGCACAAAGATGCTGGTCTAATGGTAAGTTTGTTCGTACCCCGAGATAAGAATGGAAAAAACTCGCATGAACTGTTCCGGAATATCATCTTTTTAATGCGTCAATGGTTAAGATGGTCATAACATAGTCATGATATAAAGTTATAAAGCAATATTATTTAATCTGAAACAATTGCAGGGTTATGCGTTGGTGACAAAATGTCACGGCAACATTAATTATTTGATATTGTAAACATAAAAATAAATGCACGTAAACAGTTATCTAAGACTTGCTTGCTGCTCGGGTTTTAACCTCTATGACAAGCCTTTCATTCTTCGAGCAAGAAACTTTACTCTGGTAACTGACCCGAGTATGTCCAAAAGTTTGTCCCTAAAACAAATTAAGAAAAAGTCTGTTATAACTTGAAATTAAGCTGAATTTGAAAATGTTTTAAGACTTACTATCAAATTCTGCCATAACTGACGTTGGTACAGCGGTGTGATGTTTTTACCCACGACTTTGCAACCAGTGTTGATTTAGTTTCATCTTTTGCTTCTTTCAGCAATTTATTACTGGTACACTTAACAGCAATTTTGTATACTATTTTGTTTACATTTTGATACATACGACATATAATTTCAGAAACAGCTCTACTTTCTTTAGGTAAAAAGCATCTAGCATGCTCTTAAACTATTATTTTACCTTATTCAAAATACGTATTTTTATTCCTTAATTTTATATCCAAACTCATGTTTGAACCATTTCGTACGGATGAAAAAAAAATGTTCGTTTCTGAGGCATATATAGTGTTCTTATAATAGGGGAGGCAGGTGAGGGATTTGCACATCTTTTTAAAAACATTACTAAATATACATTATATAGTGGAAATGTGATCCAATTGTGTGACATGAGGCTGTAAGAAGAAGTTACTTTCATTGTATCATCCATTTTTCAATGAGATTTGTCGGTAAAATAAAAAAAACATATCAACAGAAGATGCTTTTAGCAATAGTTTAAAACCTTCATATGGGCCACATGTTTTATCAGTTAAACAATTGTATGATCATATCAGTTTAATATGTGTCTAATTGAGGATTTTAGATATGTGAGTAATGTCTTTAATTTTGTACAAATTTTTTATCACGGAATATTTAATGTATTAGATAATAGAGATCTATAGTATACGTATGTCATAACATATTAAGAGTGCATGCATGAAATGTTTAAAGGTTAAACAAATACAGATTTTAACATAAATGTCTGATTAAGTTATAAACTGGTTTTATATCGGATCCTTACATAGATTTATACACTCGCTGTTCTATATCCAACCACAGGCACTCGGGTGTGAATCACCAAACGCCTTAAAATGCAAATAAAATGTATATTTGTCAATCCCAGCACATATACTTATGTCATATATATCAATAAAACTTAAAATACGCTGTTTCACGCATCAGTTCAGAAGGATTGGTTTGCATTTTCAACACGGAAATCCAACTTTCGTCCTTGACCTTAATCATATGATATTCAGTATAATAACATTTATGTTAAAATGTTTAGGCAACATTCAAATTTGGGACATAAATGAGCCGTGTCACGACAAAACCAACATAATGGGTTTGCGACCAGCATGGATCCAGACCAGCCTGCGCATTTGCACAGTCTGATCAGGATCCACGCTGTTCGCTATCAGTTTCTCTACTTGCTATAGGGTTTGTTTGTTTCATTTTACGCCTTTTCCCAACAGTATTTCAGTCATATAGGAACCATCGTTCCTGTAGAGTTACACCAGTACTAGACTACCTTCTACTTATAGGGTTTATAAGTGAACAGCATGGATCCTGATCAAACTGCGCGGATGCGCAGGCTGGTCTGGATCCATGCTGGTTCCAATCCCATTATGTTGGTTTTGTCATGACGCGGCTCAAATAGTGAAATCTACGGAAGCCAATGTGCCAACTTCGCAAAATCTTAAGTGTTATTACGGTATGGCGATTGAAAGCATATCTAATTAGTTATACGGATTTAAATGGAATCGCACTTTTAACAGGCCGCATTATGTCTCAAACAGTTGTCAGTTACGTAAGATAAAAACTGAACAAAATGAAACCTTCAATCTTCGTTAAATTGACGTTTCCTATACAGTGTCATTTTTTTTTACAAAGACATAAACAATCAAACAGTTAAAAAACCGAACAACAACAACAAAACAACCTTTACATTATGAAAGAAAATAAATCATAATTCGAACAAAATTTGGGATAAGGGTCCTACTTATTGAAATAATTGCCACTGATAGTAAAATCTTTAATTATTTTACTTTTTTTTTCAAAAGCAGAAATCAACCATATACTGACATTATCAATGAAGTAATCAGAGAATAAAGTAATAAACACGAATTTGAAATCAAACCACGTTGCTTGCGACTGTTTTGAGTTATCTGCTTTTGAAAATGATATTGAAAAAGATTGCAAAAAAGATTGCAAAATAAATTAATAAATAAAATAAAAATAAATCATTTCAAAAATTGTGTCAAATATGATTCTCTTTAGTAACACAAAGTTTAAGAATATTCTGTTTTCCCTCTTTGCCTATGTCAAAATGTGCAGTAGATTCTTGGCCTAGCACACATGTATTAAAATTTTCTAAATTTACAATTCTTTTATATAAATAACGCGCCTTTTAACTAATCAAGCCGCAATTTTGATTTGAAAGTAAAAAAAAAGAATATCAATGAAATCTGATGAATTGTAAACTCTACACATGGATAGTATACGTAACTGTTGACTACGTAATATACGAATTGCTGGCCGCGTGGGTTCAACCCCGTGAGCGACAAGCGTTGATTCCTTTAAAACGAAAACACGCTCAATGTGTTTGATTCCAAAAACGAATTTGAGAGTGTTTCAATCAGCTTTTAACTTCCAAAACAATCAAACTAAAATAAATTCTGTATTTAAACTATAATTTAAATTCGTCCAAGTCACATTGAACACTTTGATTTTAACAATTTTTTTAAAAAAGTTACAAGGACTGTTCTGTCTCCAAATGTTTTTTTTAGGTTTTTAAGCAAGGAAATATTAAAATCCATATATCTTTAATGATATTGAGTTGTTCTCCCGACACCACGTTTAGTAGTTTTTAAATTTTCAAAACCCGACAACAAATAAAAAAGTTATGCAATACTAAATCTTTACATGTTTTTTTTTTTTCAAAAACAACAAAATGGCACATAGAACAAAACGTTTTTCAAGCATCGTAATGTATTTTTATTTGTGACATCCAATAATTGAATACTTCACGACCGATTAGATATGAAGGCGAATTAAGTCTATCTAAAGTCCTGTTTACATTCCATCCATTTTTAATCGTAAGATTAATTGATTTACCGTTTACATAAGCGCAATAATTTCGGAATTGCACCCCAAAAGATGAGAATTTAATGTTGTGCGTGGCATATATAGCATTCTTTGATTTTTTAAAGAAATAATCACGTTCTTTTAAATCGGATAAGCAGATGGCTTTACAGCGGAAGTGCCGAGGGCTTTCATTAAATGTGGAAGAGCCACTGTTTTGTAGGGGTGTATATTCAGTTATGTTAATGCAGAATGGGTAATAACTTTATTATATCTGACTATATTATACTATATTATTATATCTTACTATATTATACTATATACTCATGTAAAGCTTCCTCTCTAATGTTCGAAAGTGAATTTTATGTGTTTAAAATCATGCTTGGACTTTCAAGAGTCTTTTGCCTGACAATTAATTAAGGACATAACAAGTCGAGACGAGGTTTCCCGCATTAAACTCACGCCGAATCTCAGCGATAATAAGAAGACAATTTTACTTATACTTAAGACTTCCTGATAAAAGGAAGGCGATGCATCTGTTTTTAAATTATCTTTTTACACGTATATGTGTACAAACTATTACACATATAATATTTTTCAGGAGATTTGTACCTTAACACCGCATTAATAACCCGCGGTGATAGAAAATACATATTTACAGAAGATGCTGTAACCAATGGTTTTAAACCTCCACGTGAGTCACATATATCGTTTTATCAATCTTATTTCATTTTCAGACGTGTCAAATAGAGGATTTAAAATATGTGAGTAGTTTTCTTATATAATGTTTCTATCTTCAAATTTGTAATATAACCGCATTTGAAATGTATATCTATTGAATGTAGATAATAAAGATGTATATATGTTTCCTGTAACGAGACGTACCTGCATAAAATAAATATGCGTACATGCATGAAATTGTTCAAGGTGAGATAAATTTAGATATTAAGATAAACGCCTAGCTGATTAAGTTAAAACTGGTTTTTAAATCGGATACTTGTGTAGATTCTTCTATACATATATTCTTGATTTCCAGACAAATTTGTAATTTCTGTTTCATGTTTCAGTTTATTATTTTAAATGGAAGTCTCAAACAATTGTCGTCAGATCCCGTGAGATGAAAATTGATCTGAATTCTGTTAGTGATTTTTCAGATTTTGTAACAGGGCCCTGTAAGAGACCCAATCGGCATTTTCTTTAATATCATGCAGTTTTTCCAAACATCCGAAATTACAGCAGCTTTTCTACTCCTCAAATTAGCAATAGTAGCGCTACTTTTTCTCTATCAAATTAAATTACCTATAGATGCGGTATATTCTTGACCTAGTATATTGTATAAAACACCATGTTAGAGAAAATTTTACTTTTTACTCATGTCTTTCCAGTTTAAAATGGAAGGTAAAAAGGCCGTAATCAAGAATGCTGACATGTCCGAGGACATGCAACAGGACGCCGTAGATTGTGCTACACAGGCTCTTGAAAAATACAACATTGAAAAGGACATTGCTGCCTTCATCAAGAAGGAATTCGACAAAAAGTACAACCCAACCTGGCATTGTATCGTTGGCCGAAACTTCGGTAGCTACGTCACCCATGAGACGAAGCATTTCATTTACTTCTACCTTGGACAGGTTGCCATTCTTTTATTCAAGTCTGGATGATTTTCAAATGGTCATTTGATGAATGAAGTTGTAAATGTTGAGGATATATGGAACAGCCGCACTGTAATTCTTCACGCCTTAAATCTACGACAAAGATTCGTGGTGTCTCATGCTTGTTTAAATGTCGGACGTTCATTCTTGTATGTAAAACAAATAATGAACAACAGTGTTCTGTAGTAAATATTTGAAAGTGTCACATATTTTGAGGTAAAACATTCGTAATTCACACAATTAAATCATTGTATTATAATAAACATTACATATTCGCTGTAATCATTAGGAATGACACGGACGTTTGGATAAAATGATTAATTAATCACATTAAGAAAATGCAAATTATGAACAGATAAAAACGAAGTTCTGATAACATAAATATTAAGAAACAAAAAATCATACAATCATGTACTTGTCAATACGTCCGTTAATATCACCAAATAATAGTTTGTTCTTGATAAGTGTACAATGCTTTGTGAATGATATTGTTTGACCAGTTCTCTTTGTATGAATGATAACTTCATTTGAGCCGCGTCACGAAAAATCCAACATAATGCGTTAACGACCAGCATGAATCCGGACCAGCATCCGCGTCCGCGCAGTCTGATCAGGATCCAGGCTGTTCGCTTACCAACTCTTTAACAAGTAGAGAAACTGATAGCGAACAGCATGGATCCTGATCAGACTGCGCAGACGCGCAAACCCATTATGTTGGTTTTGTCATGGTGCGGCTCATTTGATGACGGAGTTTTATTTGTTTTGCAATTTTATATCAAAGATCTCAAGAACATGTTAATGGATTTAGATATTTTAAGTCCTTAATAAATACTTCAAGTATAGTTAAAATACTGTATCTAGGAGCAGCCAGTGTCTGACACAGGTTTTTGTTATTTTTATTGCTATTGAAATGTATGTTTGTTACTTCTTATTAAAATGATAAAATAAAAAAAAAACATTTGAAATGATTATAATTATACAGCCTTAGAATTGATTTATTTTCCTACCCATATGTACTCTTGCTCTCTTTTTCATAAAAAATACGTTATTCTTTTTTTTACCATGGGTACAGATTAGTATACAGGAGTTATTTCAAGTCGATTATGTAGGAAGCTATACCCTCGGACCCTTTCCTAAAACGAACCTAGAACCAACCAGTACTGACGGGGTTTGGACCCATGCGACTAGCGATCAGTATATTACTAGTCCGATGCATTTACCACTCAGCCATGTCCCCTCACAATAATTATTAAGGATTTGACGAGTTTTAACATTTGAGTGAATTATTGTTGTTTGTTTTATGCAAGAATAATATGATTCAACAGTTTATTTAAAAGACATATGAGACTTAAGGTGTCCATCAATATTGATCTGGTTTTATACTGATTTAAGAATCCCGCTATTTTTTGGCCACAAAAAAACCCCAACAATTTAAACCGCCTCCTATGTAGTCAACAGATACGTAAAATTTCTAAGTAAAGATTAATATTTAAAAAATGTACAACCGTTGCCAAAAACCGGCTAAATAGAAGAAAAAAAAAACATACTCTGTTTGAATTTTTTCAAGGAAATCATTAATAGAAGCCGACTATCCCTCACTCACGCCCACCCGCTATAGCACCGGCTTAGTAGAGATTTCAACAAGTTGAAACAACATCTGCAGATGTTCAAAAGCCAATGATCGTGGATACGGTAAAACTATGTATCTAACAATTTGCTGCGAGTTTGATATATTCTATTTTATCGGTATGTATTTGTCTCCGCCGTATGTTGTTTTTTTTTTCAAAGTCGTTGATATTCATTGAGAAGTGCACGTTAGTGACGTGTAAGCGAACTTTCGAATTATTTTATGGAAAATTGTGTACATCAGTTTGAAAACCAACCGATCATACCTTTGTTATTTATAATTAATAATATCTTCACTATTTCGTGTACGCATATAACGGATATTATTGATTGGGCCTTCGCTATATTAACACCGATCAAATAATCCACGTTTTTAGAAAATACAAACAAAGGGTTGAAGGGGCTGCTAATTGTATTGGGAAAAGAGTAAGTTTATGAAATATGACATTTTATGTGTCTGTTACAAGTTTTTAATACTTAACAGAAATTTATGTAGAAATCTTCTCTCGTAAAGAAGACACTTGGATTCTAATTGAATATTGACCGTGCTAAGCTGTTAATTAAATGTAACAATGTAACGCAAAGATCATCATAACACCAACATATTGGCGATAAAAACGACAATTCTTCAATATCAAACCAAAGTTCCTTACAAACACTCAGCTTGCGTGTTATGTAGATTTTATATTTGCTGTTTAAGGTGTTAACCTGTCAATTACAAATTCATTAATGTTATAGGGACATGCTGTACATGTGTAATAAGTACTTTTCGTCACTATAAAGCAGCACGCCTCCAGATTCATGCAAATTTTCATGAAAATTTTGAAAATGTTTTAAAAAGTAAATTTTTGTCAAATAAACAAAACAAAATAATTTTCACGTTGGATACAGCACTTGCAACCCATGCAAATCAGGTAAATCATGTAAAAAGAGGTCAAAATATGCAAAAATAGCCTTTTTTGCGTTAGTAACGCAGTAGAAATATGGTGAACAATACTGCAAAATCGGTCACAAATCGCCGATTACATGGAAACTATTTCTTTAGTGTTGATTCTTTTTATTGTTCTTATAAATCATAGTTCTTTTTCTCAAGTTTGATTTTCTTGAAATAGTTTGATCCGTAGGGGGGCATGCACCTTTAAATATGCATGTTTGTGTAATCCTAAAACAAATTATAGTAATAACATAGGTCCTGATTTATCTAACAAATAAATAAAACAAGTTGCCAGATTACTTTTCAAGAGTTTTATTATTTGATATAATATTCACAAAGTGTATTGGGATTAACTGGAACATATGCTACTGTCGTGCAACATTGTTGCCCCTTGTGGCTTAGTGGTTGCTATGCTAATGGTTGAGGCATCAGAATTGCAGCAACCGTTTATCTCTGCGCGAGCAATGGGTCTGAATAACTGGAGTCTATGCATCTCTTATCTCCAGCAGGAGAGACGGTTTTTAGCCCTGATGTTGCTTTAAGTTGTAAGACCCGAGGTTAGCAAAAAGCATTTTTCCTTTTCCAGCGCCATATGACCTTAATTGTGATAGTGCGCCGTAAAACCAAACACATTGTATTCATCACAAATGTTTTATGTGATAGCTTGCTTAGTAACCATACATGTATATTAAAATATAAATTGAAAATTTATATTATTTATGATATATATTATTCAATATGTATGGACACATTTTTAATGCATGATGCATTTAGAAAACTATGCCAACAGAGGATGTGGTGCTGTATACAAGAAGTTACAAATAACCACACAATTAAAGAACGTATAAGAATGTATCCCATTGTATACGCCATTTTGTGATACAATCAGTAGATAAAATACACAATGTATTTATATAACATACATGATTTATCAAAACAGGGAAATTAAAAAAAAATACTATGGTAGCTTAAATTGCGCTAAATCTTATTTTGCTTTTTTTGCCACAAAATACGAGAGTGGGTTAATATGTAATGCAATATGAAGTTTATTTTCTAATTTAGTTCGTGAGTAAACTATACTATCCATCAAAGCATTTGCTTTTAAAAGATATCAAAGTCATGTTGGTAGTCAACCGATCACAATTCAAAGTACCCCATGAAAAAAATATGGCTGGTAAACGCTCAGTTAAAAGTGCGCAAACTCGTGCTTACATAAAACTCGAGCAAAACTAGGATAGTCTGTTATAAATATTTATGATTTGAGCCGCGCCATGACAAAACCAACATAATGGGTTTACGACCAGCATGGATCCAGACCAGCCTGCGCATCCGCGCAGTCTGATCAGGATCCATGATGTTCGCTATCAGTTTCTCTACTTGTAATAGACTTTGTAAGCGAACAGCTCATTTTATAATTTGTTCAATTTATTGACAATATATTGCATTACATATGAACCTCGTACAGGACAATAATTATTAAACTAATCTTTGTGTTTTCTTTCGCATTTTGGCAGTGAAAGAACGACATGACGTAAATCAGCTACCATAAAAACCATGGTTATAATTAAAGCCATGTAAAAACGGACTTTATACGATTACAAAACAATTGTTGTTTAAAGAATCCGCTGTTGAGAATATATGTGAGTCATAATTTTAAATAGATGACTTTATATCTTGCCCCTCACCATTGTCGGTTCGAATCCCGACAGGGACTTTGGATTCTATCATGTGAGGAAGCTATCCAGCTAGCTTACGGAACGTCGATGGTTCTACTCAGGTGCCCGTTTATATCATTTATAATGTAATTTTTAATGTTTAATGGTCTCCATTCTCAATTATAGTTAATACCATGATACAATAATCTTATGTCTATTGTTTTATTGTTATTATTAATAATTGTTATCGTACTGATGTGGTGCAAGTAATAATTCTGCTGGAATTCCGGTTGATTTTTATCAAGATCGGAGGCAGGTGCGGTGTGCGATTCGGCCAGTACCAGGTTTGTGCGGCAAACTGGACGGTCACCAAACGCCAACCACATTGTAGATCAAAGAACAGTAACAATAAAGTTTTAATACTTCTATTTTTATTTTAACTTTAATGCAAAGTTAAAGATTATCGGAATTTTACGGTATTCATAGGTCCTATTTGCTCAATAATTAAATGTCTTTTACGCAATATAATCACTACCAATCTCATTTAAAGTATATCCGAACTGTCTCACCACTGTTGGTTTGAATCCTTGCAGAGACTTTGGACTCAATCATGTTATCATGTAATCATGTTAAAGCTAGCTTTCAGAAGGTCGGTGGATATACGCTTGTTCCTTAAATAATAAATGGAGGGATACATCAAGTTTTCGTCCATAGGAAAACTGAGAAGTCGCATTCTTACCATTGATTTAAACCCCCACCCCGCCCGTAAAAATTGAAGAAAAAGAAAGGAAGGAAGAAGAAAGAAAGAAAGAAAGAAAGAAAGAAAGAAAGAAAGAAAGAAAGAAAGAAAAAAAAGAAAGAAAGAAAGAAAGAACAGATCATGTTAATGGAATTGAATGTAGTGTCTGGTCTCCTTACAATTGAAATTTCTCATTTTCCACCACTGGAAAATAGCGTTGCTATGCCATTATTGATAATCATTTTGCTGTTATTATATGTTATTTGTAGGGATGTCATCTGGAACCGAAACGACCATCCGGATATCCGAATCAAACATCCGGATGCATCCGGATGTTCGGAACGTTGTTATATTCTTAGATGTCTGATATGACGTAACCATTTTTCGCGGCCTTTTTCAAAGTGTAGTATTTCTTTTTTCTTATTTTTTAATTGAATGTTACATATAAAAAAAATTCCGTCATTGACTTTATTTCTTCTATATAGAATATACGACTGTTATCAATAAATTTAGTGCGTATGGTACTTACGATTTCAAATGAAATGAAAACGAAATTCACCACCGATTGTCTGATTTCCTCAATTAGTGCTATAATACACAATAACACTCGCTCACGTTTGTGAAAACAAAATAATACCCGTAATGTTTCCAATTGTTCAATCACACGCATACAATTTACACACGATGACCTTTGACATGCGTGTAACCGGCTTTTCAAAAGAACCTGCCACTCTTTGATGTTTACCATGTAGCCCTGGCTGTTTGATTCGAATCCTCAAGGAAGTAGCCGAAACTGACATGAATTACACACATTTAAGGTGTTCCTAAGTGAAAAAAAAACTGAAAAAAATGTTTTTAAAGAAATGAAAATGTTTATTGTCTCCTATGTTTTTTTTAAAATTTCTTCATGATCATTAACGATTTATCAATTGATCTACAAATCGTTTGGGATTGGGGTACCGATCGATGATGAAAAAGTCTGTATAATGCTGTATGCTGATGACATTGTATTGCTGGCTGAATCCGCAGACGACCTACAGTTACTATTATCTGCCTTAAGTAATTGCTGTTGTACAAATGACATGCAAATTAATGCCAACAAAAGCAATATGTCCATTTTAGACCAAATTCTGTAGCACGCGCAACGTACCAATTCAAATGCGGTTCCACTAAATTAGCATATGTTGATAGATATATATATCTGGGTAATGCTTTTCATGAACATTTGGATCTTTTAGTAACTGTTAAGACTGTGACCCAGAGTGCAAGTCGAGCGTAAGGTTTGCTTATTGCAAAATTTAAAAGTTTAGGTAGTATTCCATACAATGTTTTCACGAAACTATATGATACAATAGTTTGGCCTGTTATAAGTTACAGTGCTCCTTTATGGGGACATCGTGTATATTCATGTATTGACGCAATTTATAATAGGGCACAGCGATTCTTTCTTGGTGTTGGCAAGTACACACCAAATGTTGGGCTTGCTGGTGAAATGGGATGGAAGCCACCGATAGTCCGTCAATGGAAATTTACTGCTTTGTATTGGTCAAAGTTAGCAAATATGGAAGAGTCTAGATTTACAAAACGCATTGCACTCTGGGTATATAATGAAGCTAATTGTACATGTAAGAACTGGTTTTTCCATATAAAATTTTTAATTAAGAACAATTTGAATGTATATTTATCTTTACACAATCCCATTGCTAGAACGTTTGTACAAATTATTGAGTCTGTGTCTCTCAATAATTTTATTAATGAATGGAAAACTAGCTTACACAATGATACTGGGATGTCTGGGCGCGGTCGTAATAAGTTACGATTATATAAAACTATTAAGTCTGAGTATGAAAGCGAACAGTACTGTAAAATGATATTACCGCCTTCTCATCGGTCATCATTTTGTAAATTTAGATTAGGGGTTGCGCCGATTCGTATGGAGACCGGTCGTTATGAGGGTCTGAGCATAGAAAATAGAATTTGTCCTTTTTGTAACGATAATTCAGTTGAGAATGAATTACATGTTTTATTGAATTGTAAGGTTTTTGATGATTTAAGAGTAGATTTGTACTCTAGAGCAATAGAGCATGATAGTTTGTTCTCTGAAATGCAAGATTCTGATAAATACACTTACTTGTTTTCAAACAAAGAGCCAAAAATAATAAGATATTGTGCCAAAACCTGTAAAAATATTTTAGATAGACGTCGTTTTAAACTTTGTAAATAAAACATTACAATAGATGTGGAATGTTTCACACATTTTTTTATTACCTTATATATTTTTATTATATGTCAGAAACCTCTTAAATGCATGTGTTTCGATGTTGATATTCGTGCTTTTTTATTTTATGTTGATATATGTTTTACTAGAAATAATTGTTTTATGTCTTTCTTGTATAGTATTTTAACTCCATGCTTAGTTTAGATAAACTGTTCGATTTTAATGTAATTTCTCACGACCATCTCTTATAATTCCATATGCATTGCATTTATTTATTTTGTTTTTAAATATATTTGTATGTTTTTATCATGTATATGCAATGATGAGATGTAAATAAAGATACTACTACTACTACTACTACTGTTTGATTATTACTAAAGGTGAAAGTTATTTGTGTCGGATAACTTTCTATCAATTTCAATAAAAGCTGTGATAATTAACATACTATTATTCGTAAGTGCATTTCTTGATTTGATTATTTTATTTCTGCAGATTTTCATTGTCTCAAAATAAGGAGTCGACGGGTCGGTAAGCCGAAATATATATAGAAATAATAGCCTAATTAAATATTTAAATTTGGACATAAACAATGGTACATCGTTGCCGATGACAATCGCACGGGATTTAGAATATTCATCTTGAATCGTACAAAGCTTAAATTTGATTAACAACATGTGTCATACCTGACTCGTAATTATTATTATAGTAATTATTGATTTTTTGTGATCTGCAGAGATTATGACGTGTATTGTCAAACTAAGGTACAATACACAATATGGTGTCAACACCATGTCTAAGATTATCTCAACGCATGTATTTATCACATATTCTCAATATTCGGAGCCGATTTTCTGACCCGGATATTTGTATAAAATATTTTAATATTTTATACAAACATCCGGGTCAGAAAACCGGATGTTTGTATAAAATATTTTAATATTTTAAACAAACATCCGGGTCAGAAAATCGGCTCCACAAACATCCGGGTCAGAAAATCGGCTCCGGACACCGAATCGTGATCCGAACGTTCGGATATCCGGACTCTGAATGACATCCCTAGTTATTTGGAACCTTGACTTTTTAGAATAAACAGTAGAATCTTTACATGCATAAAATAACTTTTATACATATATGTATTTACCGTTTTCTGGTTGTTATTCTTCAATTAACATCAAGTCACAGACAGGCCCCGATAAAAGAATAATTCCAGATAGAAAATTAGTGAAAAGACTTAGATGCAACACAGGCTAATTACGATAATTAGGTAATTTAATTACAAAATCTACATTTCGAAATTACTAATCTAGCGTAGAAGATATCAGAAGTTAATCAATAAGACTTGCGACAAAACCAGGAAAATCTCGGCACCAGTAAAGGGAAAAATCACGGTACTTAGTTAAGAGGTTTAAACTTAACGTCAACAAAAGTGAGTAATATTTCATTTTTATCTAACTTAAATATTAATTAAGCGAAATATATTTTTATCTTATCTTGTTAATTTTTATATATTTTCATGATTTTAGTTAACTTTTTCAGTTTAGATACGTTTGTAATTTTGAACGTCTTTGTAATGTTACACTCAGAAAGATATTTCATAATGCTTTAGAAGATGACGCATTTTAAAGTTTCGAAAGAATTATAGCTTTTAATTATGGAAACTGTCTTGTTTAAATACAAACGTATCTCTTTTTTTCAGTTATTAATATGTTCTTAAAGAATTTAACAAATAAAAAATAATTTAACAATCGAGCATATTTTTATCGGATTTTAATCAAAATTGTGTACTGGAATGTATTAAATTGTGATCACTTTCAAGAAGAAAGATAATTTATAATTTCTTATAAGAAACGGCGGCGGTGTGCTTAAATTGTATGGCACTCACACAATTATAAAAGTTATAATAGTTAAATGAATATCATTAGTGGTAATGTTTCATTGCCAAATCAATACTTTGTCACAGTAAAATGCTGATAAATAAAGGATATTTAGTGAGTGTAGGTTCAATATTGAACTTCATTCAACGAGTCATTTGCCAGCCTCTGGCGAGCATACTGTTACTTTATTTAAGTCTTCCAATAAATTCATTCCAGTTATCATATACCTAAATGAGGAAAAGTTTACAGTCAAACATGTTTTTATTGTCACTTAACATTTGGCGCATATGATTATCACTTAACATTTGGCGCATATGATTGTCACTTAGCATTTGGCGCATATCTCTTAACATTTGGCACATATGATTGTCACTTAACATTTGGCGCATATCTTTTAACATTTGGCGCATATAAATTTACATCTGCGGATGTTTCTAAATATAAAATTTTACTATTTCATGTTTAAATGTTGAATTCTGCTTAAGCCGGTGCTAGGGGGCGTGGACGGTAACTTGCACTTTTCAGTACCGCCCATGAACAGGCTCAATCGAACCGAGCCTGCGACATTTTCAATTTGGCCGTTTTGGGCTTTCTTTAGGGATTCTTTATTTGTCTATTTCATGTTTTTATTACACGCATGATAAAAAGAAAACCCCGTTAATAATTGCAAAGTCGCAACATTTCTTTACGTGCGTGCGTGCGTGTGTATATGTATGTGCCAATATACTCATGACATCACATGAGCGTTTTGTGTATTAACTTACGCAGCTCATATATTGAGTCCATTGCTTTTTGTGATCATTGCTATAATAACAAATATAAATAGAACTAAACTTTCATATTTTAGTTTTCCGTCTCTTGTTTTTGTTGTTTGTTTTTGTGTATATTTTTTAGCAATTGAGAACGCTCCTGTATTAATGTAATTGATAGTTTAGCCCTCGAACAATCTTTCAGTAAGGCAATATATTTGTATAATCTAACTTACAGATATTTACATATTTTATAATTATATCAACTGTTAAATTCAGTACCATGCGCAATTTACATTGACTTTATCAATACTCATATATGCTGGAAGTGCACTTTAGGACGATTTAAAATTGATAAAATTTTTTGTAACAGAAAAAACTTGTTTTTTTGTTGTTGTTTCTGAAACATGCAATAAATTCAGAATATACTGAAACAAATTTTATTGAAATATTCATTGCACTAGTGTGACTGAACCATTTTCTAAATATCATCAGAGAATCGATTTCTCTTCTTGTACGACACAAATTTTGGCTAATTGCACTCGCTGATTAATGAATTTTATAGCAACTGAAAAAACACGTTGCGTGTAAGTTCATATTTGATTAATTAACCCGGGGGAATTTGTGAAATGGATTTGCCCAGCTTGGGAAGGAGGTTTGATATCAAAATACAAAAAAAAAAAGATCTTCCAACTGTATAGTCTATAGAGCCTGGTCAGTTTGCACGGATGTGCTGACAATAGCATAGCTCTATTCTGGTGACAAAGGCTATTCACTTCCGGTTTCTGACGGTTACTGGGTTAAAGCACGCATCCATATTCATGTCAATATACATGACCATTTTAGAAATGCATTTAAAAGTTAAAAATTGTGAGGTGAACAAATAAAGTAATTTACATTTTGCAATCGGCACTTACAATCCAAAAAAATGACCAAAAAAGTAGTCAACATTTGCAAAAAAGCCTTTCTTGTGTTAGTAACGCAGTAGCAATATGGTGATAAAATACTGCAAAATCAGTGTTAAAACGCACATAGCATGTAAAATTTAACTTGGATCTTGAATGTTTTTACCTTTCATAAAATATTAGTATACATTTTTCTTAATATTAATTTTCTTGAAATATTTTGGCTCATCAGGAGGCTTGCAGCTTTCAGTCTCTCAAAGTCTGTAAATAATATAGAGTAAATTTGTATATTTTATTTTCTAGGGTCCACCATGGGAGACAAAAGGGTGTTCATAAAAAGCGTTGAGATGCCGGAGGAAATGCAACAAATTGCCATAGAAATTTCTATACGAGCGATCGAGAAATTTAGAATAGAGAAAGATATTGCCGCCTACATCAAAAATGAGTTTGACCGGAAGTTTGAACCAACGTGGCACTGCATCGTAGGCAAAAAGTTCGGAAGTCTTGTGTCACATGAACCCAACAAGTTCATCTACTTCAACGTTGGACCTACAGCTGTCCTTTTATTCAGAGTTGGATAAAGGGATTTTAAGCCCAGTTTCTGTGTTTTTTTTATTCATTTGACTTCTAGCAAAAATTTCATTTAAATTAATTAATAAACATTAACAACATCTACATTTGAATTATAATAAACGCTGTAATATATAAAGTATGATAATTATATGAGTATTTTAAGTATTCTATGAAGGATGTGAATATTCCAGACAGAAAAAGGGGAAATACATGTGTATACGTCTTTTTAGTAAAAGCTCTACTTTACATTTTGCATAATTATCTACTTTTTGGCAAGAAAAAAAAAACGTTGTTCAGAACAAGATGACCTATAGATTTTTTGCATGAAGTTAATTTATATATACTAGGTTCCAAAAAAAAGTGTGCACTTTGTTATCGGCGATTTTCCATTGCCCATTATGCTAAATGTCCACGTATTTGGTACCAAGATCAGAACATGTACATTATAATCGTGACTTTAAACTTTAAATTCCGGTGTCATTAGGATACGATTTTGTCTCGAGTATGTACTAGGTCGCCCCCAACGGAAATGACGTTGTGTCCACTGCAAACGGGCAGCTCGATGACGTGCTGTAAGCACTTGTCCCACACAGGGCCTCCTTGGCCGAATGGGTTGCCGGGCTTGCCTGAGGCGGCGCAACACTGTCTATTTGCTGATACCATACTGCCTTGCAGAACTTGTCGCCGTTTGAAAACGACGTCGAAGGTGCGTCAACGTAATGAAACTGTCCGTTCGAGGGTTTGTAACCCTTGGTCTACCTGGTCTAGGGCGATCTGCTATCCCACCTGTTTGCTGGAAACGCTGGCGCAACCGAAATATTGTGTTTCTGTGACAACCAAACGCTCTACTGACGTTGGAGACGTTGTCGTCACGAGCAAGCATCGTAAATGCTTGAATTTGCTGATTTTGATTCAGTCTAAGCATGTTCAGTGACAAGCACTGTGAAATCAAATGTGTTTTTCCCTATGTAGTGGGTAAAAGGATTATTTCTATACACAGTTCCTGTGACATGTACCTTCGCCTCGGACTGCACGTGCAAATTATGCTATATTATGCATTGCCATATAAAGCGAAAATTTCGTGCCAGCACGGGATAGGTTTTACATTGGATTGATGTATTGTGTACTTAGGACTAACAATGCCAAATTTGCAAAAGAAACGTCTGCTAATTTTCTAAATATTCAATATTAAAAAGTGCACACTTTCTTTTGGAACCGAGTATATATTGGACCAAATGTCCTTGTATAAAACCAAAATATTTATATATTAGTTCATTTTAACTTTATATGGAGCCATGCCATTAATGCATGGAACTGAAACAAGCAGTATATAAATAAATGCTGACTTTATAGTACCAAAATAGTACCTAACGTTAATGAGGGCCCGTCCGCTCTTTCTAACGTTGAGAGTACCAACCCCGAACATGTCACTACCGTTCATGCCCTTAAAAGTTATAATAAGAAAAAAGTGACATTGCATTTTGATTTTCTTTTGAAGAGGCGTACAAAATGTCGTGTTATTAATGTCCCTGCAATCATTTGGCTCAAGCAAGATGACATTTTAAGCCAATGGCAAGGGCGGAAGAAATTAACTGTCATGGTATGTTGTCATTGGCAGTTATAGTTTGTTTACTTATACATAGTGTTAAATCGACTAAATTGAACATTGAGCCTAAATATGAATATGAATACTTTTTTGTATTCTTTAGAAAGGTCAAATATGTGCTTAATATTGTTTTAACAATGGATTATAAAAGCACGTCAAATGATTGTTAAAAATATGAAGAAGTCAGCGCTGATTGTGTCACCGTGAACTAGTATATTCTTTAATGCAGAGATGTGCAAAAACTGGATATATACAATGCTGTAAAACATAATGTCTCAGCAACCGTATGCGCTAAGTCATTTCCTTCAATTTAGTAAACAATAAAATATGCTGGTTTATTTACTTTCCATGGTGCTCGTTTAGGTCATATAAATACACAATTCCTGGGATATTTGAACATGGCTGCGTTGCTAGATACACACGGTATGTTGTACATGTATAAATATCTCCCCCGCCATTTTTGAGGGAGATTGGCACCGATAGCCCTTTTAAGGGCTACCCCCTCTTTCATTATTGTCTCAGGTTACTGTACATTTAGGTTCTCATTGACCGCCGTACAGTGACCTCCTTTTGGCTCAAAATTAATATCTTTGATTTGAAAACATTTTGTTTTTAATAAACTATATACACGAATGTTGTAGTTTTCATTTTTTAATTTAAGAAGAAAAAGCAAAGAAACAGAAAAAAAAACAACAGAAAGTTCGTTTGAATGAAGATTTTAACTGGTTCTGTTTGTTTGATTCGGGTTTTACGTCACACCGACACAGTATCTATAGGTCATTTGGCGGCGTTCCAGCTTTACTGGTGGAGGAAGACCTCAGGTGCCCCTCCGTGCCTTTTTTCAGGCACGAACGGGCACCTGAGTAGGTAGCAACTGGTTATGCTATTGCAATTATCCTTTCGACCATAAATCGACTGCAGCCGTGTATAAAGATTAAACAAACGTCATGATAATCCAATAAAAAGTGACGTTACAAACGTAAATTTAACGGCCATATTACCTGTGAAAAATCTTCATAACTAAAAAATATACACTATAAAACCGACCGTCTTTTGCAGGAATATAATTTTCTATATGTGCACCGTGTAAATAATGCGCGTTGTTAGAAAATACTGATTTACAAAGGATGCTGTATCCAATGGTTGTTACATAAAATGTTGCAACATGACTCAACATAATCATGTTCAGTATTCATAGATTCCTTAATAAATTAAGAATTCTTCAAGACAAAGCTTGTGTAAAAATAATAACATTGTAGGAGTTATATAAAATGTAAGTTTAATATTCATTTTTCTATATTTACCGATACTTTTTTTTCAATTTTCCTAAGACATTAATATGAACATCCTAATTAGAGTAATCTGTTATGTTTAATTAAGACATTTCGGAAATAACTTTGGTTACGAGTGCAATATAAGGTGATTATTCCAGTAATTTCCTTGAATGATAAATGGGGGGTCTAATGCAAGAGTAGATAATTGGTGCACTCAGTGTCTGTAATATAATATTATATACTTATTCTCCGTTTCATTAGTATATATATCGATATATGCCTAGGCTCTGAACTTGCCTGAAATACGAAGTAATTTTATCAATGGCACTGCATGCAGGCAAATTGCACACAATTACACTGCATGTTGTTTAAGGGGTAAATGCAAGCGCATCTTCACATTCACATGATTTAACATACAATTAGAAAAGTGTCTGCAGAATTGTTTTTTTTTTTTTTGAGATATAAGAAACTGAATTAATCTATTCACGGACTTTAATTGTCACGGATTTTAATTGATAATTAAAGTCTGTCACCTATTAAATGACATCTACAGAAATTTTATTTTTTAAATGTAAAAAATTCGGTCATAATTTCATAAATATATAATATGGAACCTCGGCTAATTGCAAGAGCATATGTCCTTACTGTCATTTATAATGGATATTTTGGCAAATCCGCTATTAAATAAATCATTGCCTATAGTACATGCACCTGTAGGCCTATGTAAGTAATGATGTAACTGCAATTCAAATAGTGAACATAATGTACATTGAATATAAGATTAAGCCATGATTTTACAAACACATGTCTTTAAAATGGGAAACATAAGATTAGAAAGTACAAGAAGGCTAGGGAAATTAGCAAAACTTGTAAAATAATTGCATTTTTTTTCCAGGTGAAAATTTTTATTAAAAAAATGGTATTTTATTTAACAAAAAAGTCATATCTATACATAGAGTGCAGAAAATCACAACACTGCGATTTTTGTAAATTATATGATTTAAAAATCAATAAATAAGATTAAATAATAAACTGATAAATATATAAATGAATAAATATATAAACGAATAAATGAATAAATAAATATTTTATCAGTTTGTCTTGGTTCAGTGCTTATATCCAAGAGATTTCAAGTAGACACATAAAACAGTTTCACCTGCTACAGCATTGATGCCTATCTGAAGACAGTATCGCCCACGCATGGCGTGAAGTAAATATTTCTGAAATTTTATCTTGATGAAAGATTTGTCTTAGCCTAAATTTGATAAAAAAATCCCAGACTTACTACTGATAATGATAATACATCAAAGTAATGTATTTGGCATATTTTTATTATTGGCTGCACCTGATTCTGCCCATGCGTGCCAACTAATACCATGGGCAGGACTGCTCGCTGTTCAGTCAGTTTTTAAGTTTTTAAAATCAAAATTCCCCTATATGTGATGAATGGCAGGTTTTTTTCTCAAGGATTTTGGGAACATGACCCATACGATACCCATGGAATTTGGGAATTTCAGCGATGTTTTGTTAAAAATTGGGGGAAAATGTAGGACTGAAATTTTGCAGTGATTAAAGGGACTCCCCACTGAAGTTTTTTGATATGATGGAACTGAAAAAAAAAATCCATATAAATGTACCATTTGATGTAGGTTTAGACCTCTAATCTTTGTGCAAAATTTCAGATCATTCGCGCACTTCGTTTTTCCAGAATAATTATTCACATTGTAAATAAATGACCCAAAATGAAAAGCGTTTAAACTCTTTTCACTCAAATCGGACTAAGAAAAGCATATAAATACGATTTTCAATTACTTCAAAGTATATTTCTTAACTATCTTTGCATATATTTCTGTCTAAAGTGTCCCAGCTCATTTATGTAAGAAATTCAAATGTTATGTTTTTAGGCTTTTAAACCTCAGTGGAGTCCCTTTAAATGAATGCAAACAATGACTGTCTAGGATGACATCTTCAAACATTTTTAAACACTTTTTACAGCGAAGAAGCACTTTTTTTCAAAGACTTTAGAACTATTTATTCAATATTTTTATTTTGTAACTATTCGGCATCCAAATTCAGTCCTACGGATATACTGCAGATCTCCAGTTTTTACCAAATTTACTATCTGTTGCAGGTGATGGGCATTTAATTAAACAATGATTAAAATATGATTATTGTAATATCTGTTTTTACATTGACATAACAAAAGAATATTATATTGTATTGTATTGTAATAATAATTGTAATAATAATAATTATAATTTTTATAATTATTATTATTATTATTGTCATTATTATTTATTATAAAACAATAATGTTCATGACTTAATGATGATGATGCAATAATGGCAATGATAATAATATAAATACTCATTCTGTAACCACTATTCATCAGCTTTTTTTAGACATTTTCCAATATAATCAAAAACAAAGAAATTCTAGCTGGTTGGTGTCATAAAAAAAACGCTGATTTTATTCTTACATCACGTATTAATTCCAAACTTCTAAATACCAAACTCGATAATATTTCTGAAAATGTTGGAATTATTCCAACCATTGTATGCGGATAGAAGATTCTTAAAGAAAAAAAAACACTTTCAATTACCTTAAACCTTACAATAATTCAACCATTTTAAGCCGCGTGCTACAAAATATACGGATCACTTCTTCGTCTATTTGTTCGTCTATTCATCTGTCCGTCAGTCCTAAAACTTGCCCGGACTACTCCTAAAAAACTACTGGTGTAATTTCATCCAAACTTTACAGGAATGAACAGTACCAAGTCAACTTGTGCATATCGTCGGCATTTTCCAGTTCCATGATGATTTTTGTTAGTTTTGGCTCTTTTTGTGTTTTTTAAAGTTACCCATCAGAAGTACTTTTGTATGATGAACGAATTTTCAGTTGAATTGATTTTAAGCTGAGTTATGGCACTTGGATAAAAAAGCATGTTGGCCGTTTATGTTTTTTTCAACATGCTACTTAGTATCCTCGACAAATAGGGAACAAACTGGCCAAACACACTTCAATACAACGCTATCATTGATCAGGCAGCACATGTGAACTGATTACTGATTGCTCTTGTAAATATATTATGTTTTCTTTTTTCAGCTTGACAAAATGACTGACAGGAAAGCCGTTATAAAAAATGCTGATATGTCAGAAGACATGCAAAATGATGCAGTCGAATGTGCCACCCAGGCTCTTGAAAAATACAACATTGAAAAGGACATTGCTGCCTACATCAAGAAGGAATTCGACAAAAAGTACAACCCAACCTGGCATTGCATCGTTGGCCGAAACTTCGGTAGCTACGTCACCCACGAGACCAAACATTTCATTTATTTCTACCTTGGACAAGTTGCCATTCTTTTATTCAAGTCTGGATAAAATGTGACCCAACTGTTTTGCAAAATACATATATTTACAATTCCAAGTGCAATATATTACATGTTTTAACATTTTACGGAAACAAAAATGTGACAATCATTTGTAGATTTACAACAATATAAAAATGTTTGCTTATAAAATGAAAAGGAAACGGTACCTATGATCAATTATGTATATTTCGAATATGCGCTCATTATGTTATTAGAGCTCCGCAGTAAATATACAGGTATATTTCCAAGAACACCGGAAGCGTTGCAAATCTTGCCAATCTTTGTAGATTTGACTTGATACGTCACCAAACCGTGCCATGATCTCATTAAAGATATTTTATATTTCTTATTTTATTTGTCTGCACAAAACCTGTTGGTGGTATACGTTTTAGAAATACTTGAAGTTAGATAGACATTTTTACCTATACTCGCTCTTAGATCTTTCAATAACGGTGCTATGTAAGTTACTAGCTGTGATTTTCACAATGCAAATTTTATTGGCGATTCTCCAGTTTCTTTTATGTTTCTGTTAACTTATTTGTTCACTTTTTTTCAAAGATCATTGAATTTCCTATTATGTATTCTATTCATTTTTCTTTTATATGAAATAGATAAAAATATTTTAAAAAACATTACATCGAGTTATTTTTTTTTTATTGCTTTTGTGTGCGTGCTTGCGTGCGTGCGCATGTGCGCGTTTGACAAGCACCGATTACTAAAGAAATGCGTGAAGACTTTTACCTGCTTAGCTCTTGAATGATTTCCCTTTACCTTCAATTATCGTATAGTATTAACAGTGAAATGAATTGCAGTATTCAATAAACAGAGTTCTTCATTGCTGTATATTTTAATTATCTCCCTATCTGAAAATAAAGTGTTAAATAATGGTTGTCCGAAGTATATTTTCTAAACTTTCAAATCTATCTTAATGAAACTTTACATATTTATATAGACTAGTAAGAGGATGTGCAGTGTTGAAGAACCATAACTCTACATTACTTATTTTTAATTACCTCCCTTTATAATATCTAATCATGCTTGTCCTCGGAATAACTTGAAAATTATAAAAGGAATTCGACTAAAACTTAATACAGTGACAAGTGTTTAAAATGTATTTGTACATTTTTGCTTACACAGCGTTTATTTATTGACGGGTTTTAATTCATATTTTAAGATAGTTACATTGTGTGGTCTTGTAAATTTGGTTACAGTAAGTGAACATTTAGGCGCTACTCTATGGAAACGTATATGGTACACCCTGATGATGTCCTTTCACGTGGAGATGTGTTCTTGTAGGACGAAATGATTACGCCAAGTTATCATAAAATATAAAGAATGATATGATAATTTGATCATGACGTTATAAAAGAACACGATTTGTCGTCTTAAAATAAAACGACATAACTACATAATAACGTATTTTGTAAAAACTGGTATGTTGACTATGTTCGTTGTTTACTGTATTATGACTTGCTATAGGTCGACATGCCGGATTTTACTGTCTTGTCTTTTTCAGTTATAGACGACAAGTACAGATCATGACAACATATTCATGTCCTTAAAAATGATATTATCATATTAACATTTAGTTCCAATGTCTACTTATTAAATTATGTCGACTTTTGTCTTTAAAATGATTTTTTCCCCAATTTCATCGCGACTTATGTATATAATTATGACACGTCGACATACATTATGACACTATTCGTTGTTGATGGCGGGTTTTCGACAATTTAAAATAGTTTGAAGTCGACATGAATATATTATGTAGGCATCTATATGTAATTTAAGACGACATTTGATATCAATTACGATTTCCTCCAATTTTTGACCTGCATCTAAACGAGCCTCGTGTCATGGATTCCAACACGGGTAAGATTTCCAAACTTTTTTTATTTTGGTTTCCTTTATATGCTTTGAACGAAATCTCTGTCTTACAACACTTTAATAAAGTATTGATTAATTTCAAACTTTTGAGAAAAAAAA